AGTGAGAAAAAGTGGGTGTGTTGTATAGTAAACTGATTGTCCAGCAAAATCCCACAAAACGGAATGTACATCTTCTTCGTCTTCCAATTTACCGTCATTTTCCAGTCTTCTTACAATCTCAGTTTCTATATCTTTTGGTATGCTGTCATCTTGTTCTGGATCATTTAAGGTCCCATCAGATCTGTCGCCTTGGCTACCTGCATCTTTTGGAATGCCGTCATCTTGCTCAGGATATCTGCATTCCTGAACAGATTCTGGATCGTATGACGTCTCATCATATCTGTTGTCATGTCTAACTGTGTTCGGTAAAGATACTGGAGTGGCGGCATCAGTAGATCCGGTTGGACTTGCTGGGAGTTTGTCGACCACAGGGATGTTTCCAGACTGTTTGGTCTCTGGAACCCCTTCCTCGGGACTGGGAACCATTATTACTTCATTCAAATTTTCAACAATTGCTCGCGCTGCATGGTACTCATAGGAAATAGACGTCTCCGAATTTTCTTGATCCTTTCCCCCTATCTTCCAAATCTCAGTTGACACTTTGAAATGAGAAGGATCAACATCTATCCCTACAGTGCTCTCTTCATCTGGGTTGAAAGGTTCTCCCCTAAGTGACTTCTTTAAGCTGGTCTTTCCTGACCTGTCCTGTCCAATCAACATGACTGGCACCCTTTTGTCGCAAGTCTTTCCTTCTGCAAGGGCCTTTTTGTAGGCTTTCAAAGCCAAACGTCCTCGTACAGTAATTTCTGGAGGTATTGCAGTAGCTGCGGAAATAAACACATTAGGTAACTAAATACACTAATAAGGAAAAGATATCAGATTTTGTTTTTTACAAAATTGCAGGGTTAAAAGAAAATTCTTGTGAAGGTGAATTAATCAACATGACACGAGCGTGGGACAAAGAAAATTTTTCTTTCTAAGAATTTTTCTTTGTCCCACGCTCGTGTCCTGTTGATAAATTCACCTTCACATTTCATTACGGAGCTCAAAATTCACCATCTTTATTAACTTATTAAGAAAATTCTTATTTGGAGGACACACCTAAGCTGACGGAAAAAAATAAGTTTTAAAAACATAAGTTGCAAACCCATGACTTTGCAACTCTGCGTTTGCTAATCAGACAACCACGTTAGAAATGAACGGAACGTGGCCACAGTTTCAGAACTTTTTTCCTTTTCCAACGATGAATATTCCGTAGCACAGTGGAGAGGACGCCTGCCCAGTGTTTGGGAGCTCATAGGTTCAACTGTACTCTCAAGAACTCAAGATTTTTTTTCTTTGTGCCAAGTTTGGCCTCGTGGTTTTATTGTTTTCGAGCGTTTGGAAACCTGATGAAACCAGAAACACGAGTTTTTGAAATTACCTCTCCAACAAAGAAAATTAGTTTAAATTATCATTTGACTAAGTTTCTTAATTCAAATATTATATTTGAGACGTGAAAATGTGATTCTATCACCTAATTGCTGCTCTGTAACAATTTTTGAATATTCATCAATGTCACGTTGTTACCTAGCTGTTTGTAAGCCGGTTCTGAGCGAACACGTTGCTTGCCAAAGCAAATGGCAGAGTGCAGATTTAGCCCTCCTAAAACTCGCGAAAAAGAGGAAAAGTGTGTGGCCAGCACTTCTCCGAGGTAACGTGTGCGTCTAGTCTGTTAAACGCAGGGGTAGATAGTAAATTAGTACGCCTGAGAACTGGAAATTTCTAACGTTAGTGCCATTTTAGGTCGGAAGTGTACAGCAAGGTTCAAAGCGAACCAAAAGACGAGGTCGCCACCATTGAGCGAGAATTTAAATTTAGAAAACGAATGGCCCTTTCTGTTTTGGGGAGTTTAATAACTGTACCGTTACATTTAACGTCAGCAGTAAATAATTCAGGTTTAAAGTTTGTTTTGTAAAATGTGTGATTAAATAAAGTTGTTTATCATCATGTGTTTTCTTGCTTTATCAATATGCAGATTAAGAAAATTTGCATCGGTGTTTGAAATTATTTCAAACACGGCCGTGGTTTTGAACTCGTTTTTCATTGGGTTTCTAAACCCATCCACCTGACCAGAATAAGATGCTCTGGTTGGGTAAGAGC